TTTTTTCCACTCAGTTATGTCGTAATAACGAGATGTTTTCTCGTTAAAACGACATCTTTTCTCGTTTTAACGACATCTTTTCTCGTTAAAACGAAATCTTTTCTCGTAATAACAAGATGTTTTCTCGTTAAAACGACATCTTTTCTCGTAATAACGAGATGTTTTCTCGTTAAAACGACATCTTTTCTCGTTAAAACGACATATTTTTTCTCGTAATAACGACATATTACATATCAGCGTGCAGATCCTGGTTTATGTCAGACTGTCACTTAGCTCGCTCACATAATGTACCATATAGCCTATCTATAATAATAAATACAGACTTGATGAACATAACATGCTTCTTTCAAAAACATTTTAAAAAATTTAATTATTCCTAACTTTTGACCGGTATTTTAGATAGCTAGTAAAGGTGCATTTCCCACAGATTTGTGCTAGGTCTTTAGGGTTTCCAAAAAAAAAAAAAGTGGTGTGGTTCCTTTCTTTGCCGCATGATCTCAGTCTCACACAGAAGTTGCTGTGCCATTCCTAATTCCTACTTAGACATGTCACGAACAAGAAGACACGTAAAATACAAGATGTCATAAAGACATACATAGTTTTGTGGAGTGGGTTGAATGACACCAACTAACAGCAAATAAATAGATATTACATAGCAGCTGTGCTATGCAATACTCTTCAGAACTGTGTGTGCATCATGTCAGCACATATAATGTCATTTTGACATCTATTTATTCTAGAACTGCTGAATAATATCATATTCTATAATGAAAGGGTTTTGTTATTGTAAGAACAAATGTCTTGCTGCTTTTGTCAGTGCTTTAGAAGCATGTTTGTTGACTCACCAAGCTGACATTTTTGAGATACTAAATAATTACACATTTGCAATATTACATTACACACTGGGTTTAACCAAGTGTATGTGTGAGTCTTATCTCATAGTAAAGGCATTGATTTATTGAGATCACTCCTGAACCCCCAGAAGAGTATGGAACAAATTCAAAAAGATAGTAAACACTATCTGTGAGTCGTGTGAGATTTCATGGCTGAATTGCTTGTCTGTGCCAGATGACCCCAGTTCATTATCGTTGCTCTTGGTATTCCCCATAGATACTGTTGAATAAATCAGGTCTGACCTGTATATCTTGGGGCGTATGGCCTAGTGCTTAACCTCCTGGGGTCGACAGTTCCGGCGGCTGAACTTTTTGCACATTTGAATGAATCTCGTTATTACGAGAAAATATGTCGTTTTAACGAGAAAAGATGTAGTTAAAACGAGAAAATATGTAGTTTTAACGAGAAAAGATGTTGTTTTAACTAGAAAATATGTAGTTAAAACGAGAAAAGATGTCGTTTTAACGAGAAAAGATGTCGTT